TCGGATGCTGATTAACCCCTTCATGATAATCCTCCTCCTTGTTGAAACACCAGCAATTACTTAATTAATTGCCGCGAATAACTGCGGAAAAGATGCCGTAATTTTCATTCCAAAACGTGTATAATGGATAACAGGTTTACAAAAATATTTCATACGAGAGGAAAATGAGTTCATTGGATCGAGAAGCACTATAGTCTGATGTTGACTGCATGGGGAGGGAAGCCCGCCACTGGGAGACCTCAGTGAACCCGACTCCTCATTGGTTCGTTCGTCTGTTCGTTCATTAGTGATTCTGTCTTGATTATTGGTGTAAGAACGCGTCTACTATACGATCAATGGCCGTCAGAATGGCATTGAAAATAATCTGAGACTACAGGAACTTTATCCATATCCCGATAAACTTGCTAATCTTGAAGAATCCGGAAACCAAACCCGGATTAATTATCAATGATTTGCACACTAGTTATTTTCCCGTAATAATTCACTCCTTTACGGTAAAGAATATGTGCGATTTCAGTTCCATTTTAGAAGAGGTTATACTATTTCCATCGCAGCTTACCGAGAGTAATACAGTTATTTAGTTCTTATATCTTCACTTCGGAAAAAATAAATTGCCGAAAGAACGTTTAAGATCCGATCCCTGGTATGTATTGACGAACGTTTATCATTAAACTAAAAATTGCATCTTTGTGTATACTTCTGTTTAATTTGTTTTGTTATATCGGTCGGTTTATCTTACACTGTTCGTTTTATCCAGTCCTTCGTGTGTTTTTCATCTGCTCGAGCAGTAATAGAAATTTTAGTAATTGTTGTAGTACAGGAGTAGTAGTAGTGGTAAATGTAGTAGTAGTAGTAAATGTATCGGCCCCAAAGCCGACAACAGTTGCATAGACCTGCGGCTCAACTAAACACTGTTAGGATAGCTACTTATGTATGAGGATATTTAACATTAAGGTAATAAAATGGTGGCGAAGGTGTGGCTATTGGGGGAGGCTGGAGGCCATCTAATAAAAAACAAACAAAAAAAAGTAGTAAATGTAGCTGTAGTAGTAGTAGTAATAGGAGTAGTAGCAGTTATTGTACTAGCAGCAATAATAGCATTAGTCCCGGTACCTGTTAAAATAACCTTAAATTTATGATAAGTTTTCCTAAGACAATATTATATAAAAGGCCGTGTTGTTGTCTTCCGCCCTCACTAATGACCTGGGAATCTCATTAGTAGCAATTACCAAGAGTGAATATTATGCTTTGATGGAACAATAATAATAATAACAATAATATCAATAATAAAGTCAATAAAACTAGTATAATATTAAACAAAGAAATGGAGAAATATGCCATAACGTCATCCTTAATTTTCTTTTTTTATACCCATATCTTGTATCCCAGGTTATTATTATTATTATTATTATTATTATTATTATTATTCTGAACTTCTTCGAATAAATACTGCGAAAGCCTTCAACGCTTTGTCCTTATCTCTTTTGACTTTCTTCTTTTGTTTGCGTCTTTCTAAAGGAACTATTTCCCTCATATTTTGCCAAAAGAAACCCTAAAAGTGTAGACAATAATAAAACAAAAACATTACAGTTTTTAAATAAACCAAAGAGCCTCGCTGAGTGCCTGTCTATGTTATTATTAGTAGTATTAGTATTTTGTTTGACTCTTGGATGATTTTTATTCCGTGCGTGAGTTGTTGTTTTTTTTAAGCATTACAGTTGTATGAATAGTATGGTCTATTTCCAATTTTTCTTTGTTTACAATTTCTTTCTTCACTTTCATTTATCTGGTCTCAAAATCGTCACTTGTTTTGAAACTTATCTTATTTTATCTGCACCTAAAACTAAAACTCGACTTTCACTCACTCACTCTTTCACACACACACACACACACACACACACACACACACACACACACACACACACCATGCTTATACATGACTTTTTCACTGACTGATTCACTTATTCTCCCACCAACAGAGAAACATTGTCACACATTCACTTAACGGATGGAGAAGTGTGCATTTGGAGGAGTAACTTACTTCTATGCCGAGTAGAGTTATGAGGAAATTGGGTTTGTTGCATGATGAAGTATAACGCCGTGATATACTGAAGTATTTTTGAGGTCTCGTGGGTATGCTAGTATGTCCGTCTGACCATTAGGACGAACACATTTCATACAAGGGTTATAACCAACGCATTTTATTGTCACGTTTTTTCAACAATGTGTCGTATTTTTTTCTTCAGTGTCATCTTCGTTACTTGTCTATAAAGCAAGAAAATCTACAATGTCTTGGTGTTAGCGAGACTATAATATTGCTCTACTTTGTTCAGCTCTGTTCAGTGTATAAAAAGCTTGACCAAGTATAAGTGTAATTTCCTGTGTTCTCCTCTTGCTGAACTCTCACATCAGGTAAGAAGCCGCCACACGGGTAAATATTCCTTTATAAGTGGTGGGCGGAGTAACACAGAGGCCTTCACTGGTTAGAAAACTAAAAACCGGAAGTGAATATGACATCTTTATGCTGCCATACAATATTCGGAATGCTAATAGTGATTTTTTCTTCCATTCCATAAGTCTCAAATACCATCAGTTTCACGTATGTATTAAAGCGTCCCCTGAGATGCAGCGTCCTGTCACGTTGTCCTTCTTAAGAACTTCCCTGCGCTTCAAGTTCATTACTCGACCAGTTTGACCTTGATCGGCCGGGTTGTCCAGGAAGAGTCTGTTTTAGCGGCCACAACGTCCATTTAGTGCAGGCCGAGTAAAGCCTGCGCCTCGTACAGTATCCCACGTTATGCCTAGCCTTCTGGCCCACTGCTTTATATCCAAGCCAGAATAGAGAATTGCTTGATTAATACGTCCGGCCGTGGTCTTGGCTATTGGATGTTGTACTGTACATCTCTCACACTGTCTTCACTACGAGGATGGAGACACGCGATGAAGAGAAATAAAAAGACAGACGAATGTACGAAAATATTTGTCAAGTCGTTGTTTATATAAGAAATTGTGAATGGTCAATTTTCCTTTTTTGTGTGTGTAGGGATGTTCAGATGTAAACTACGTTGGACATTGAGTTTTTTTTTAATGAATTTTACCTGTAATTGTTAAGAAGGAAACTAAAAAAAATCAGTTTGATTTTTAAGGATTACAGTTATTTAAAATGTTTAATATAAGGAAACATAAAGACAATAAACGATAACAACTGTTAACGTGTTGAAGGAATAACTATGATTTCCTGTTGCAGTGAACTGGTGTGTAACGAGGATAATATATGAAGCAATTTCCTCTGCATCAGTTAGAACAGAATATGGCACCTAAGAAAATAAGGAGTTTGCAATAGGCCGGTTGGACTATGCATGGCAGCTCCTGTCTAGAGTTACAACCACTCTCTATCATCCATGAATCTATCTAGCCTCCTTTTAAAACTTTCCAGCGTTCCAGCACTTACTACAAAGTTGCTAAGCTTGTTCCACTCGTCTACCACCCTATTTGTGAACCAGTTCCTTCCTATCTCCCTCCTAAACCTAAACTTATCCAACTTAAATCCGTTGTTCCGAGTCCTATCCTGCTCGGATATTACAAGAACTTTATATCTCCTTTATTGATTTCTTTCACCCACTAAAATACTTCTATCATATCTCCCCGCACTCTTCGTCTTTCTAGGGAATGCAAGTTTAGTTTCTTTAATATATCTTGATATGGAAGGTTTCTAAGTCCCGGAATCATTTTCGTCATTCTTCGCTGCACCGACTCCAGTGAATTAACATAAGAACATAAGAATGGAAGAAACTGCAGCGAGCCTATTGGCCCATACTGGGCAGTCCCGTTTACACCCAACCCCCTATTGCTCATATAAGCATCCAACCTATGTTTGAAGCTATTCAGCGTATTCGAGTTAATGATGATATTTGGTAACTTGTTCCATTCATCCACTACTCTGTTTCCAAACCAATGTTTACCTACTTCACGCCTAAATCTAAATTTGTCAAATTTAAAACCATTGTTACGAGTTCGCTCCTGGTTGGATAGTTTGAGTACCTTTGTAATGTCCCCTTTGTTTAGGCCTGACTTCCACTTATACACCTCTATCAGGTCGCCCCTCGCTCTACGTCTCTCGAGGGAGTGCAAATTAAGATGCTTTAACCTGTCTCTATAGTCAAGGTTCCTAATGCCCGGGATTAGTCTTGTCATTCTCCTCTGAATTCTTTCCAAGAATTCTATATCCATTCTGTAATACGGTGACCAGAACTGAACTGCGTAATCCAGGTGTGGTCTCACAAGCGCAAGATACAGTTTTAGGATGACCTCGCTAGTCTTGTAACTAACACTCCTTTGTATGAACCCAAGTACTTTATTAGCCTTGTTACGAGCAAAAACACATTGTTTACTTGGCTTAAGGTTCCCTGTTTACATCTCCTATACTGATATCCATTCTATAATAAGGGCACCAGAACTGAGCAGCATAATCGAGGTGCGGCCTGACTAGCGCAAGATATAGTTGTAATATGACCTCCGCAGTCTTATTACTTACACTTCTAGATATAAAACCTAATACTCTGTTTGCCTTCTTTCGAACATTAATGCACTGCTTTCTAGGCCGTAGGTCCGGGCCTACAAATACCCCTAAGTCTCTTTCACAAGTCGACTTCTCTAGGTTGATATTGTTAAGGCTGTATATATTGGCAGTATTTGTTCTAACAATATTAAGTACGCTGCACTTGCTGGTGTTGAACTTCATTTGCCATTTTTCTGACCACTCCTGCAGTTTATTTAAATCCTCCTGTAGTGCATTTGTATCCTGCCCTGAATTAATCCTCTCCCACATTTGACCATGTACTTCAGAACAACAAATTAATCTTATTAACTAGTTACATTACGTTCTATATATATATATATATATATATATATATATATATATATATATATATATATATATATATATATATATATATATATAAAGTTGAGTAAAAGTGGACTCTTCTCTACAGTGACCATACCTGAGGCGTCAGAAGATACACACACTCCTCGCTCAGACGACTCATCGTTTTATGTACATCATTTTCCCGCACCATCTGCTGTTATGTATACAGTATATTACTGACTACTAAGCATTTGAATACTTATCGACAACTTAAACATTATTTTTTTTTATTACAAGAATAATCTTCCAGGATTATAGTACATTTTCCCGTAAATAAGTCATTATATCTGAAATTCAGTTCCCACCAGAAAACAATATTTCTAGATTTCAATGCTTCGTATGTGACGCGTCCGCGTGCGTTAGTCGACACATCCACACACTCACACGACCTAGGGCCCACCGGGAGCCTGGGATACGTGACCGTTCGTCATGGCTGCCCGCGGCACACTGAGGTCTGAGGCTCCAGTCTCCCTCCACACCGCTGTTCGCTCACCTTCACCTCCCCTCTCATATGGCCCTCAATGGTGGAGGAATGAAAAATGCCCCTCAAGTCCCCCTCATGTCACCCTCTTCACATTCCCCTCATCTCACCCTCTTCATTTTCCCCTCATGTCACCTTCACGTTCCCCTCATGTCACCCTCTTCACGTTCCCCTCATTCTCATGGTCGTTCGTGTCATTCATGGTCGTTCGTGTCATTTCATGGTCGTTCGTGTCATTTCATGGTCGTTCGTGTCATCTCATGGTCGTTCGTGTCATCTCATGGTCGTTCGTGTAATTTCATGGTCGTTCGTATCATGTCATGGTCATTCGTGCCTTGCCATGGTCCATAATACAGATAATTAACCCTATTCTCCACTTTTATCATAATTAGTACAAATAACAATTAAAATACTTATTGAATTATTGGAACTAATATTGAATCCTAGTAAGATTAGCCCCTAGCTTATTTCACCTGATGATTAAACATCTTGATGCAACCATGAGGGATTAGATTATGTTTGGTTAAGTTTGGCTTGGTTTTGTTAGGCTAGGACAGGTAGGGTCGGGTCGGGTCAGGTCAGGTCAGGTCCGGTTCGCGGTTGGGTGCTTAATCATCAGGTGAAATATAGTGAGGGTTACTCTTCATAATATCCCTCATTTTTTTTATACTTTTTACAGTAAATAATTTTTACTCGCTTATATTAAAATATTATAAAATGTATTCTTCCCCCTGCTAACTTTTTGTTCATTTACAAGTATATCTTTAAGTTAATTAAAGTATGTAATTTTCACCAAGTTTCTTCAAAAGTGAGTTTAATTTTTCTTCGGTCAACATCCAGCCCCGACTAACAAGTTTTACCAAAGTGGCTTCACCAGCTTTTAAGATTTTATTTACACACACACACACACACACACACACACACACACACACACCCACACACACACCACACACACACACACACACTCTCTCTCTCTCTCTCTCTCTCTCTCTCTCTCTCTCTCTCTCTCTCTCTCTCTCTCTCTCTCTCTCTCTCTCTCTCTCTCTCTCTCTCTCTCTCTCTTTTGACATTCTCATGTGACCTCCATGCCTCAAGAAATACATCAGTACACGATGACACTAACCCTGTGTAAACACGCAATTCGTCTCGTTACTTGGCTCGAAAGCTCGTCTAGTTGTCAACGAAAATCCTAATGAGCAGGCACCACAAGAAGGCAAGACGAAGCCTGATACGTGGCCAGTCGTCGAGAGGACACAACATAGCTCCAGGGAGAGGTAAACGATCCGTGTAGTATAGTACAGTACAGTATGTGCTATCAGCCTGAGTGGAAGTATGACCCACACTACACATCCTCAACAATGAACAGAGGATTACTCCGACCAGCTCGTGGACCTTCGTGGTTTCGCTGAACATTTGGGTTCCGTTTTCTTTATCACAGAGAATCTGGTATAGTAGTGCTTAAATAATACGATATTTACCGTTTTTTTTCGTATTACAACTTACAATTTTCAACAGTCGGTACTTACCGTACATTGATAATCCTTTGTCACAATTTTAGATTTTCTCTCCACAGTCTTGTTGATCCGGATATTAAAAAAATATATATACCCCCTGTATAATAATTCTGCAGGATACAGATAAATAAATGTTTTGTTGGCAGGAGATCTTACATCAGTCTAGAGGTAGGACAAGAATATACATTTATATATAAATAGATAAACATCTGTATTTTAGGAGAACTGTTCACTACCTTAGTGTAACCAGACTTTACCTAAATTAGGTTGGATTAGTGTTGGTTTCGGTTAGGTTAGTGAGGCTAGTTCTAATGTTATATTCACATACAGTAATGCTTGTATTTTGTTTATCTAAATAACCTGTTTATTTTTTTCGAAAAAAGAGCATGACATAGAAATCTTGTAATTATCTAAAAAAAAAACAGTCAGGTGTGTACACGCGGGAGGAACACCTGTCAACATGAACGCACGATTATTGCCTTGTTTCACATTAGACAGCCTTGAATATTTGTTGCCAACATGTCATACCACCCACCAGAGCTGTACATGGTGCCTGTCTCTCACTGCTCATGCATTTTCTGGATCATATGAAGATTAGACATCCCAGTTTATTTCGCCTAAAGATTAACCACCTAAGGCGAACCTAACTTAACTTAAACTAACCTACCTTAACTTAATCTAACCTATCCTCCCCAGTAATAGAAGGGCGATCAATCATCCGGTGAAATTAGCTGAAGGGTTTAAACTTCAGGCGATCCCATTTCTGTACAAGACTCCGGCGAAAACAGACTATAAGGCAATACCCCCGTTATGTGAGTCTAGTAGAGGCAAGGGGAGAGGGGGAGGGACGCCTATATCCTCCTCACAAGTTTCGGTTTATCATTCAGCGTGTGAGTACTGTATGTTTTTCGGCCACTTTGTTACAGAAGAACAAGAAATTAATCTTGATATTGATATTTGGATATTGAAACAGTTTATTTAGCCAGAAGAACACAGATACAGAGTAGATTAAAGATCATATTATTTACATGGCTGAGCTTTCTTGTTTATATACTGTACATTTATCTCAAGGAAGTACTATGTAACGTTTAGTACAGGGGTTCTCAACCAGGGGGGAATTCCCCCCAGGGGGGGAATTTCAGGTTTTCAGGGGGGGGGGGGAATTGTACTAATATGGAAAAAATAAAGGATTTTCAGTATTATATGCATATTATTTGGAATGCACTTTTTGAGGCAGACAATCTTGGAAAGGAGGGGGGAATGACATTCTGACATATGGTGAAAGGGGTGCATGGGGCAAACAAGGTTGAGAACCACTGGTTTAGTATCATCTGGAATAGAACACATAGCTTGGTGGTAATAAGAGCATATCAGAATGTTACCACGGTTATCACTTCGATATTTATTTATTTTACTTTTTTTACATTTATATTAAAGTGTATACATAATTTACAGTGGAATTGAAAAACATAAATATGATGAGGGAGGGAAGCAGTACAACATAGGTTGTATTAAGGTGGAGCAAGAGGACAGAGCTTTCAGGATTATGTCTAGTTGGCAAATATATTTATTGCAATGGTAATTTATATCTATCTACATGATAATTTCTGATAAAACGGTTTTGGTGGTACTATAAAAGCAGGTACATAAAGTAGGGATTACAAAAAAATATTATTACTGAGACAGATATTTTTTTAAGATATGATCTAAAGAAGGGAGCATAGTATTTGCTCGGATGGGTGGGGGTAAGTTGTTCCACACCTTCACACCATGATATTTTACGGAGGTCTAGGACTGAGTGGAGCGCACAGGGAGTGCTCTCGGTAGCTCTGGGTGCCTTAAGTTGTATCTCTGCTTATTCCGGAACTGGAAATAATTGTTGTCAAGCAAGTGATTGACAGATTTGTAAATAAATAGGGCACAGCAGTAGGTGTTAATATCCTCAAATTTTAACATTTTCTATTTAGCAAATTGTTCATCTGTGTGATCAGTTTTTCAAGTAGGTCATTGTCCGCACAACTCTCTTTTGTGCAGTAACCAGGGATTGTGTTTTTGAAGAGCCAGAGGCCCCCCATAGTGTGTGACAGTGTATAAGGTGTTGGTAAACAAGATCATAATAGATTTCTTTCATTGCTGTAAGAGTGAGAGACTGTCGAGTGTGATACATGATACCGCACTGTTTATTGACTTTTCTGTGAATGGCTTGTTTGTGGTTTCTCCAGTTAAGTTTCTCATCAACAAAAACCGCAAGGAATTTATTATTTTGTTCACATTTGAGGACTGTATTACCAAGGTACGCGGGGTCCAAATGTGTGAGTAAATTTTTCCTATTGTGAAATATCGCGTAGAGGGATTTTTCGAGTTTTAAGGTCAGCTTATTACGTATTACCCAGGTCCTGACTTTAGTCAATTCAGTGTTCATAGTTCTCATCAAGAAATGAAGGTCTGAGTTGCTGGCATAGAGATTACTATCGTCTGCAAATAAGTTGTATTTTGTGAGTGTGCTGGCGTGGACTATTTCGTTTATGTACAGCATAAACAGTACTGGACCGAGACTGGAGTCTTAGGGGACGCCAAGCAAAATTGGTGAGGAGTCAGATTGATAATTATTATAGCAGACATACTGCTTCCTATTAGACAGATATGAGGTAAACCAATTGTGGGATGAGCCCCTAACGCCGTACTGTTCAAGCTTTGAAAGGAGGATAGTATGGTCGACAGTATCAAAGGCTTTAGAGAGGTCCAAGAATATACCGACTGTGAACTGATTGTCATCAAAGGAGTTTAAGATGTCATTAGTAAAGGATAGCAGAGCAATCTCAGTTGACCTAGCTCTAAATCCAAACTGAGAGTTTGTAAGGATGTTATTGACACTGCAGAAGGAATTTAGTCTATTACATGCTAGCTTCTCCAGTCTTACTTAAGGTTAGGAGGACAGATATGGGACGGTAATTTTTGAAAAGACGTTTGTCCCTAGATTTTTTATATGCTCGGTGAACTTTAGCAATTTTCAGTTTATCCGGAAAGACACCACGAGTGAAGGGGGAGTTACAAATGTGTTGGAGAACAGGTAGTAATAAGTGGGCTACTTTCTTAATGATGCTCATTGCTATAGTCTTCGTCTGCTGCTGCATCTTTGGACATTTTTATGATGGTCAATAATTCATCTGCTGTGATAGGGGATAAGAACAGCTGATTTTGTTGTCTGTTTTGCAAGTATGCTCTAAATTCCTCATGGTGATTAGGGATGCTCTCTGCAAGATTTTTGTCAACATTAATAAAATAATCATTGAAGTGGTTGGTAAAGAGGGAGGGTTCCGTTACAACTGAATCATTTATCATAAAGGCTGAGTGGGGGAGGGGGCGAAGGTTGAGTGTTCCTGTTCTGAATAGAATTTATGATATTCCAGGTTTTCTTACTGTTGCCTGATGCTGACTGGA